TGTTTCATTTCGGACAAAATCGCTATGTTTCTCAAATTTCGGCCGCGAACTTGCTCGTCTTTGAGGTTCATTCATTTTCTTTTCGAACTTTTGAAATTCCTATCACTTAATTCCGCCCGGCATTATGCTCTCTGGCCTAAATTACGCGGCCTAACCAAAATACTGTATATATAAATTCTTGATGGGTAAAAATGCGCATAAATGCGCATTCATGCGCATGTTTTAGGTATCATGCGTGCGCATGATACCCATCTCTAAGTCAACGGGCTTAATAGTTTGAAAGTACTAATTTGATGTTGGACTGGTAAAAAAAAAAAAAAAAAAAAAAAAAAAAAAAAAAAAAAAGTTAAATGAGCAGGAACTTTCCATTTCAGGCTGTGCCTTAAATTTACGCAGGCCTCTGGAGGTGGATAGCATATCGGTACATTGTGATTAGTAGTTAAACTGGTTGGTTCGTGCTTGGAAACCCAAACTGACACCGTTCGGAAACAATGAGTTTTAAACTATGCTGTAAATTTGTTTGTATACATGTCGCTATTTACTGTATTAAAAATTTGATTAATAATTATTATTTTATTTAAAAGTTTAATTGATTTCGAACTCAACCGGCACAAAGTGGTTAATCTTTACATAATTAAATTTATGTAATCAAAAAATTTGAACAGGGACGAACTGAGTTGGATAAGCAGGATAACATTCTAATTCTGATATGTTTTAAATGGATATTATTTATATTGGGCATTGGTTAGGTTTTTGAATTCAAATTTTTTAGTGTCTAAGTCATTTATATGATTTCTGAATTTAAACCATTCTAATTGAAAAGGCGTAATCGAAATACATATTTCGAAGACTATACTATATATTTTTAAATAGGATTATGTGAAACGTGTTTTGATATTTAATATTAAGGTTTGAATTAGCCTAAATTGAGAAGAATGTGCTACATATTATATTTGAGTTTACTGTATTACAACGCAATTTAATTCAATAAAATACGTATCGGTAGTGACTAAATTTATAAGATCTTGAAATGTATCGATATCGATATAATTTTCTCAATAATAATCGATTGGTGAAAAGAAACTGATGTGTTCAAATTTGTCAAAAAACACAAAGTATTCTAAATGGTTAGAAGAAGCTTTGAAAGATGGCACTATAGCTTTTTATGAATATTCGGAATTTAAAAACGTCAAAGAAATTGGAAAAGGTAATTTAACGCACTCTTTTTAATACAATCAGAATTTTATTTTCTAATTTTAAAATTCGTAAAAGGTGGATTTGGTGTTATTTGTTCAGCTGACTTTTATACTACAAAGGTAGCAATAAAGTGCCTTGGTACTAATGAACCAACTAAAGAATTTGTTAACGAGGTTGTACATTGATAATTTTCTTTTGATTCTACTCTCTTTATTTGATTTATATGAATTTAATAATGAATTTTTTTTTAGCTTAGACAACTACGTACTGTTAGTTTTCATCCTAATACAAATCAATTCCATGGCATTACAATTGGT